TCCAGACGAGTGCAATATTACTGAATCCTTGACTGCAGAAAACGAAGAGCCACAATCAATAAGTGAAGCCTTGAACGGTGCAAATGCAAGCAAATGGAAACAAGCATTAAAAGAAGAATACAATTCACTAATTAGTAATGAAACATGGGAATTGGTACCACCACCGGAAGGGTGTAATGTCATTGGATCGAAATGGGTGATGAAAATCAAACGTGATGCAGATGGGAATGTTGACCGACATAAAGCACGGCTTGTTGCTCAGGGATATTCACAGACACCCGGAATCAATTACGAGGAAGTCTTTTCACCTGTTGCAAGACATTCTAGTATAAGAACGCTATTAGCTTTGGCAAACAAGCACAACTTAGAAATTCATCAGATGGATGTCAAGACAGCATTTTTAAATGGCTACATAGAACATGATATCTACATGTCCCAACCAGACGGATTCGTTGACCAAGAACATCCAGAATACGTTTGCAAGCTTAAGAAGAGCTTATACGGACTTAAGCAATCAGCGAGGTGTTGGAACCAAACACTCGATAGTTTTCTGACGAAAAACGGTTATAGAAAGAGCAATGCAGATAATTGCATTTATGTGAAATCCATAAAGAATGACAATGGATTCATAAGTTTTGTGATTTTGGCTGTGTACGTTGACGACATAATTCCTATCTCAAACGACATCAACATGTTAAACACAGAGAAGGACTTGTTATGTAAGCATTTTGAAATGACGGATCAAGGAGAAATTCATTTTATACTCGGAATGACAATTAAGCGTGACAGAGAAACCAAAACGCTATTCATCAGTCAACAGAGGTATCTAGAGAGCGTGTTGGACAGATTTGGTATGGCTAATTGCAAACCGATCTCTACTCCTCTTGAAACAACTTACCATAAGCGAACGGAAGAAGAAGAAGGATTTGATAAGAATTTATATCAACAGGCTATAGGACGTTTGACATACATCTCGACAGCGACAAGACCAGACATTTCTGCTGCAGTTAGTATATTGTCTTCATACATGTCAAATCCCAGCAAGGAACATTGGAATGGAGTCAAAAGACTTCTAAGATACATAAAAGGAACTTTAAATTTTGGATTGAAATTTACAACGAGTGAAAATGATGATGAGAATGGAGACGAGTTGTATGGTTATTCTGACGCCAACTGGGCAGGAGACGTTGATTCTAGACGTTCAACCTCAGGTTATGTGTTTAAAGTCGCAAATAGCACCGTGAGCTGGTGTAGCAAGAAACAAGCGAGTGTGACGAAATCAACTACCGAAGCGGAATACGTAGCATTAAGCCAAGCAACGCAAGAAGCAATTTGGATGAGGCGATTATTATCAGATATTGGTTGTAAAAGTGAAGAACCCACCACAATGTACGAAGACAACCAGGGAGCTATTGAAATTTCGAAGAACGCAAGATTTCATAACAGGACAAAGCATATAGACGTCCGGTTTCACTTCGTAAGAGAAAAAGTATTATCAAATGAAGTTAAAGTTATCTATTGTCCAACTGAACATATGTTAGCGGACATAATGACAAAGGGATTAACAAAGAAGATATTTCAAAGACTAAGAAGCATGTTGAATGTTTGTTCATACTAAGGAAGTTAAGATAAGTTGACATTACAAAATATTTTCAATAGGACACAATGACAAAATAATTATTAAGTGGGAGTGTTGAAAATAAAGTAATAATCATTTATATTATTGCATACATTAAGTATTTTGTTTTAAGAGATATGATTGGACGGTGATCACATGACTTTCGAACACGTTGTTCTCTCTCCTGATCGTATGTGTCGAAGCGCATATATTGTATTCATGTATCGTATGTAAAACGTTTATATTTCATATTAAATAACATGGTTTTTAACATCCCCTTCGGACATCCACTATTTCTAAATTTTTCTAAGGCTACCTCGCCGTTTGAAAATGTCACCGAAAATTAGACTACGTTCACACTACACGCGAGCGAACTAACGCGGGCAGAATTTATGTGTGTTCACACTACCGCCATTACAGTTTGTTTACAAATTGAATTAGCACTCGTGTAAACCCAAAATATTTCAAAAAGACCCAAGAAATTTAACTGAAAAGCATTTGAGTTTACACGTTTGTGTTCACACGAAGCTATCAAGCGCTCCGCCGTTTTCACCTCGCTCTGTTAAAGGTGATCTACAGTCCGATCTGTGCATGTGCACAAATGAGCCCACTTTTTATGATACAAACAGTTGAACTATGTTTTGAGTTCTTGAAAAGCCTAATTGTTGTTTCTTGATAATATATTATACTCTAGAAGCTTGAAAATATAAATAGTTGTCGAATAAAGCTCAATATTTTGGACACAAAAATGTAAACAAAGGCTTTGTTTACATAGCTACAGACTGTAGATCACCTTTAAGAAACCGTGCTCAAATTGTTACAGCAAAAGTGACGTGAAAGTTTTCAAACAATTTCGCTCCAGCTTAGAGTGAATTAGCGATGGCTTATTGTGACTTTTCTACGCTGTTTTCAAATAGCTCCGGCGTGGCGGAACACTTGGCGGCTTCTTGTGACTTGCGAACACAAACACGTGGCAGGTTTTGTCGGATAATTTGCAGAAATTCACTTCGAAATTCGTTCAAGTAAAATTCGGACTGAAATTCGATGTAACCTGCGACTGATTGACAAGCGTTGCTATGTTTACTTACATGTTAAATTTTTTAGTATTACTGCATTCCTTAACCTCGCCCTTAATATGTCGCAAGGAAACTTTATTGACTATATACTAAAACAAATTGTTTTGAGTTCAGTTCACATGGCAGTCTCTTAATTTGAGCAACAGTTTAATAACTATTATTTTTAACACTTGAATAATTCAAACTTATATATATGAACGAAAACTGCAAAACTTTACTTTTATATAAATAAAGTGTGTCAATTTTCGACTCATTCTCAACATGCAGGATACGCTGTTACAGCGAGTTAGTTTTTGGTGGCCATGCATGCAAAAGTGGACCGCTTATTTTGCTTACGAGTTACGTGGACGTATAATTATTGCTGTTACATAAACGTTCCAGTGTTCAAGAGCTACATATAGCCGATAAAAATTGCGTGCTCATTATAATTGCCGATCACATAGCTTTATCACAGTCTCAAACCTTCAGACAAACATATCCACATTCCTCTCCCCCCCCTCCCCCCCCCCCTTCGGACAAGGTGCGATTGAATTTTGAATGACAAATTTTGAATGACAAATGAATTTTGAATGACTCCACGAGAACCTCAACTGTGATACCAAAACTCGACAAGATCTTTGCGGTTCATGGCATTCCTACCTTTCTCAAAAGCGACAATGCTCCCCCTTTCAATGGCGAAGAATACCAACGCTATCTAACCGCCCTTGGGCAGTGCTGTAGAACTAAATTTACCAGGGGGGGGGGGGCTCTCTTGACGAGCGTGAAGCCGTGAAATCGTAAAAAAAAACGTGACGTCATATGACGACCAGGGGTGAGCCATACGATGACCTATAGCCCTTACCGCGGCGGCATTTTTTGATTGGGGAGGGGGGGCTAGGAACGCCGAAGGCGTGAGCCTTCTGGGACTGGGAGATCCGGGAAATTTTGAAATCTGAAACCTCTCAGAGCCCCGGAAATGCAATAAAACCTGCTAGTTTCTCTTAAAAAGTTTCTACCTGTAGAACGACTCTTAAACAACCATTATATATGGGTAAAATTTATTCGCTTAGTACATTTTCCTTGAATAGATTATTTTCTTCGAAATTTAATGCCTTGTTAAGCGTAATTTAAATTGCATTTTCCATACTTGTCGTCCTTACCTTTCTTAGAAATGTTCTTTTCTGGAAAGTGCGAGCCCACTAATACATAACAAGAAAATAATAAATGGAAACAAACACCTGTCCAGCGTACTAATGAAGACTGAACTAATCTACATAATTTGTGCAAGGAATAACTTAACGTATTTTAAAAAGTCTGTGATAGTCCAAACTAATTATAATTCAAAAGTCTGACTAATTCTGCTGGAGTTTTTTAAATCAAAACTAAATATTTTTGTTGAGATTGTAACGGAGATCCTGCTTTGTAAATGAACCAAAGTTACGTTTTCTCTTGTCGTTCTTGGACATGAGTACATTCGGTATTTAGTATCGCCAGATGACTGAATCTCCTCTGTGACATAATAAATTCCCGATTTTCTAAAGTAGAAGGGGGGCAATCTTCTCTACTCCCAAATGGCCCCAAGGCAACGCTGAGGTAGAGCTCTTCATGCAACCATTGGGAAAATCCCTGAAAGCTGCTAAACTTGACGGTGGTCCATGGAAACAAGAGCTGAGTCGTTTCCTGTTGCACTATCGCACCACACCGTATTGTACCACTGGTGTTCCAACCTCTGAACTGTTATTTAATCGCCAAATTCAAGGAAAACTTCCTATTTTACAAAAAAGCAACCTCGTTAACCGTTACAACGAGGCTCGGGAAAAGGAAGGTGAAAGACAACAATACAACAAACGTTACGCTGATGAAAAGAGAAACGTTAGAGAAAGCCCAATAAAAGTTGGCGACTACGTTTTGTGGAAGCAAGAGAGACGGAACAAACTCACACCCAATTTCAATGAAACACCCCACATTGTCATCTCGCGAAACAACGGTGACAGCACGTAGTCAGACAGGACACACTATACTCGCAATGTATCACACTTCAAGCCAATACCGAAGCCAAAGATTGATGTTCAGTCGACGATGACAGTGAAACTTATGACGCGGAAAGGACCGAACGAGACAGAATTGACACTAACCCTGAGCCAAGACGTTTGACAAGGAATGTCAGGCAACCAGAACGATATGGCGAGGGAATTCCCTTGTCGGTAATTAAATAAAAAAGTGGAGTGATATAGTATTGAAGTCATGTCATTCACCCTGCACGTACCAGGACTATATAGACATAGGGCACGTTGTGTAGAAGAACCACACGAAGACATCAATCAGACCTATATCGTTATGTTATGCTAAATATATTCTATAGATTAAGCCCGTTGTCAATTCCAGAACGCGTGAGGGCGCAATGCGACTTTTAATGAGTTAAAAATAAATTTATTTGTGGCACCTTCTAGAATACGATATCTAACTTGACTGAGAGTGTCATCCCACCTAACGTATATTCTAAGGTCAATATGGCAATAAACCGGAGAAGAAAACCGATTTAGCTGTTCATTTTTTACTAAACAAAAACGACTAAAACCGGGATATTATATATTTCCATTAAATCGAACAACATGATGTGTGCTATAAACGCCATGCGTAACGCCGTCTTAAGGTGGCTTCCTACAGTTTTGATTGTACAGCACACAGTTGTATTCAAAAAACCATTATTTTATCAGTCTTGCAAAGTATGATCACGAAACTTGGCTACATAACTGCTACAATATCGCGAATGACGAAAAATAAAAAATGTCGTTAAAAATCCCCATTGCCATGGTAACAAAGCGATTTTAAAAAGGGCCAATTTGCAGATTCTTTGATAATTTTTTGAAAATTTCTTCGGTAAAACTTTTTAATTTTTTGCACACTGTAACCTTATCTATAATTCCTTCAAATGATAGCATTTAAAAAAAATCGTACGAGAATTTTTTTTTAATCCTCAAAAAGCCCTGTTTTTGGAATAAAAAAAAATTTGGCTCGTACGATTCTCTTAAACCCTTGCACATTTTACGCACTTCAAGATTACAGGAAAGTCTGTAAAGTTTTAAAAAAATTTACCGAAGGAAACACGAGAAAAATACAATTATTTTTATCTATGTGACGTCACAAAAATCAGGATTTCAATTTCCTCGCGCGACCAGTGGACAATCCCACGAAGGCTCGCGCGTGTATATCATGACGCAATTTTAAAAACCCCGCCACGCGTGCAACGTCGACCACGCGTGTTGCGTGTAGCACTACTGATCTCGCGCGCGGACAAAATTTCCGCGACACAGACCTAAAACTGTAGGGAGCCACCTTAAGTATTTGTTTGAATTGCATTGCAGTTTTACAAAAAAGGACATGCATGTGAAACAGTGCCTTGACTAGGCTCTTTTTGTTATTTTGTGCTTTTAGGATTACGCAGACTAAACGAAAATTAATTTTTAGCGTGGTGTTGTGCACGTTTCCGAACTTCTTTTTCAGTTTTCCAGCTAGTTTTCGCTTTTTGCAAGAATTGTCTCTCCCTGTCATTACAGTACATCAGTTTAAGGAAGAAAACATGAGATATTTGCAAGGACTAAGTGTGAAAATTACTACACTGTAAGCGTTTTATGTGTATGCCTAGCAAGACGCATTTTTATTTCCATCTTATCTTCAGCGTGACTTGTGAATGGTAACATTAAAAATTATATATAACATATAAAACAAATTTTTAAAGATTGGATATTTGCATCAATGCCATAATAATTACTGTATCTACAATTCATCACCATGGATAATTTCTAACAGTTTTCAATCTTATTGTTTATAGTTGCTTCATTGGGACCAATTGCCTCGTCTGTTATCTGCTTCTTTACGATATGGTTTAAAAGCAAATCACAGAATACTCTTCATACAGCATCCTTTGTATTTTTGGGTGCTGCTGTTTATCAAGTTATATTAGCAAGTCAAAGCCCAACACCTTGGTTGTACAAATCTCATGCTGGATCAATAATTGCTGTGAGTATATGCACTCTCTTAAGTGCCTCGTTCAATATTAGTTAACCGTATAACAAATTTTATTTTTGCAAAAGAGTAGCCCACAAAATTTTAGCAATTCGTGTCAACGCACAGTACAGGGCGCGAAATAACGGCTGGAGGGTCGTCGGACATACCGAATTTCTGGCCGGTCAAATTATTCAGCTTACTATTAGCCTAACTATTGCCAATCTAAGAGGCAGCCTATTGGACGGTAATGTTGCATAAATGCATGATCTCAGACACCCCCACACTCATGTTTGATGTTAATTATTGCATAAACTAGAAATACATGCATGCAACAACCCCTCGCCTATATTCTCCAAATATTGTTTCAACATGAAGTATTCGTAATTACGCCAACACTGAACGCAGATTAAAACTGACTTAGAAAACGTACATAAATGGCTAATTGCCATGAAGAAATTAACATTGAATCAGGAAAAAACTGAATGCATGCTGGTAGGCTCAAGACAGAGACTACAACAATCTTCAAGTATATAATCCTCAAATAGTTATTGGCAACCATACTATACAGCAGGTCTCAAGTAAGAAAGTTCTTGTGGTCATTATTGATGAACAGTTAAAGTGTAAAGAACATAACGATGCACAATGCAAAAAAATTTCTTCCCAGTCAATTGCTCTCTTGAAAAGAGCAAAGCAATTTGTAATCAAGATCCACTTCTAGACATGTTCAATGCACTTGTCCCACCTCATTTCACATACTGTTCGAATGTATGGAATGATGGTAGTTGTGCACATATTGAAAAACTACATAAATTGCATAAGCGAGCCGCTCGAGTGATAACGGGTTCAAATTATGAAATAAGATCAACAGAGATATTTGAAAAATTAGGTTGGCAAAAAATTGAAATTATTCTTAAAAAACGTGAACACATTATATATACAGTATGACATTTAAACTTAAAGCATTACGGGGTGAAACGCGTAGTAACTACTTGTCAGACCTGTTTGTCGCCAGTCATAATGACATGCACGTATCAATTAAGAAGTAATGATCGAAAACTTTATTTAAACAAACCAAACACAAACTTTATGAAAAATAGCTTTTCATACCGCGGAGCTGTATCCTGGAGTAGTCGTCCAGCTGAAATTGTCAATGTATACGACCAACTTTCCTTGTATTCTTTTAAAACTTTAATAAATCATCACTACAAGGACTTCGAGGGAAATACATTGACAACTTAATTAACCTAATTCTCTTTTGTTACAATTGTTGTAAATAGATAGTAAGTGTTTGTATTTCTAAACAATGTATATGTATGTATTCATAAACGGCCCCTTGAAAATCAGTTTTTCTTTACTGCTGAAGGATTACCGTTTTCAAATAATTTTAAATAATAATGGAAACTTTATTGAAATTATATACGTATATATACAATTATAAATCTCACTAATTTAGTATTTTATTTAATAATGAGTATCCTTAAATGTTCAGTAATTCCGGATTTAACCAGTCCTTATCTCTGCAGCAAAATATATAATATGTTGTCCTAATCGCGATAGACATAATTTTCCTGATAGCGAAATATTGGTGTCTTTTATCAAGACCTAGATCATTTAACATATCTAAAAAGGAATGACATTCTTTTGAGAAAACGCCTAAAGAACTAATTGACAAATTTACAAATTTTACGGACTTAAATTGTTTCTTTTGCTGTGTAATGAGATCTTCGTATCTTCTTCTTTTCCGATCAACATTTGTTTGTAGATTAGACTCATAACCAACAGAAAGTTCAAGGATATAGAGACAATAATAATAATAATAATAATAATAATAATAATAATAATAATAATAATAATAATAATGCTAGTCATGGCAACACGATAATTTTTTTTAAAAATTTTTGTACAAACCTTCAAAAAATAGATGAACTTAAACACTTTTAAATACAGAACTATCAATTTCTAAAATATATAAAGTACATGTAGGTATAATTATTTTGGTTTCTATAGGCTTTATTTTCATGTCAAATTCAAAACGAAACTCTACGTATAATGTGAATTGAAATTAACTGCATTTTGCCGATATTAAACTGTTCAACTTGTGCTTCAACTTATTACTCGCACTTTGAAATAAATTTAATTTTACAGGACGCTAATGAAAATAATATGCTTTTTGAGATCAGTGAGATGACCACCCATACACCCATGAACCATGCGCCCGCGATATTTTTTTTAACTTTATTGGTTAATATTTATAAATATGTACAAATACATTTGAAAATAACCAATCGACAAAGGCGCGAACGGGACAGAAGTACCCATGCGAGGCGCCTTCCCGTTAAGACGTAACGTTAAAATAACATAGGTCAGCATAAGACTAAATAGCCAGGCAGAATTAGTAGCCTCGCCCCGGGCTAACGCCCGGAACGGCGCTCCGCACCGTTGGCTCGGGGATTAATTTAAAAATTATGCGTGAAAGGCCATTATTAGCACCAGTTATTTGCAGCTGACGTATTATTCTCACCTGTTTTTTTAGGAAAATTAGCCAATCAACGTTGATTGGATAAGTAAATGATAATTTGTATTATCCGCATACAAAAAGTGCTATGGCTATGCCTGTCTGTGGTATTTTTGGCGTCATTAAAAGAGGGTTAATTTTATATTTTTTGTTGTAGGTTCTGGGAGGACTAACAACAAGTATGTTTGGTACGTATATTCGACTAACGATATCAATTATTATGCGAGAAGAAAGTAGAAGGGCGTTATACTGGTGTGGAATGAGTATTCAAATTGGATCGTTCATCGGTGCATTTAGTATATTTCCTTTTGTTAATATTTTACATGATTTCCACGGCAAGAATGCTTGTTAGTCATCATAACGATCAGGGAAACAAGAGTTGTCTTATTTACTTTTCAGTTTATACTCTAATAGCGAACTGTAAACGTAGCTTAGTGTGCAAGATAACTTTTACAGCATAATTATGCTCCCACTGGAAATATTAAAATAACTTAATTATTATGGGTAATATAAGCTATAATTGTCGATACCTATATGACTGTGTATAAACGGTAGGTTTTTCATGGTATAACGCAACTGGCTTCAAAAACACTTTTGGTCATTACACAACTATTACTACATGAGCCAATTTTTCGTGCATGAGCAATTTTTTTGAAAAAACTTTCGCTCGTTGCAGTCAGATGTTGGACTTGAACTGCGATCTGCAATGCAATTACTTTTTTGTTTTTAATATGAAAAATGAAAAGAAGAGATTGCTCTGATTGGAGGGTCATTTTGCGACACAGGTTTAAAGGCACAGTTCAGCCGGCTTTTGGGAGACTTTTTTTATTTATTGGTTTACGGATTTGACTTAAAAAAACAGGTCGTTAAGGTAAAACACACCACTGAACACACTGAGTATAAATGAGAACCAAATTTAATAATCTGTATTAAATTTTTTAATGTTGTAATATCTTCTAAACATTTAACTTCTGCTTGGAAAAACATGGCATGGCTAATCACCATATTGATTGTCACAGCAATAATATGCATAAGCCAACAGTACTTAGAGTCAAAGTTTACTTGGCGTGTAGTTCATGTCAGAACCCCAGATTAACTAAAATCGTAAAATTGTTGACATCCAATTTTTTTTTTATTTTTCACTTTCTGAATATTCACAGTCCGATGTGGATCTGTAAACCAATGAATAAAAAAGTCTCGCTCAAATAGGAAAATTTTTTAATATTAAACATTGTTAAAAAAATGTTAAACACATTGAGATCACTGACCTTGAATTATGCTTATTAATAATTTATTTTCCTATATTTAAAGTTTGTTCGTTCACTGCAACCAGGTATATCAATCCTGTTTCGTTCGCTACTCTGGTTTAAATAAATGATTACAAAGCCCAGTCGAATTGTAATCAAGACCTAACGTTTCGACACTCCAGTCTAGTGTCTTCATCAGGAGTGATCTAAAATTGCAATCGTGGCTTCTTAAATACCCAAGGCAGGGCTGCAAATAAATATTTGACTTGACAGGACATTTGTCCGATCACTTTTAATTTTGGTCAGACATAACTTGAATTTGGTCGGACAAAAACCAACATCACTAAATTTGGTCGATATAAGTCACGAGACAAGTATGTATAGCCATTCCGGCGCAACGTTAAGTAAAATGCTAGAATGCCTCGTAAATTTTATTGCAAAATGCAAATTGAGTGAATTTGCAATCGGATTTTGTCACAGCAAAAAAATGTATAATGTGACAATTTTTTTGTGATCAGACCAATGTCCGATCAAAACTACTTTTGCTCGGACATTTGCCAAATTTAGTCGGACATTGTCCGATGTCCGACAGTAATTTGCAGCCCTGCAAGGGATGACGTCACCTGCCAATGAGATGACGTCACCTGCCAATGAGATAAAAGTATTCCTCTGGGAAATAGGCACCGTCATCCCTATTCAAAGCATGATTACTCACATTTATATGCCACGCTTCTAGGCATAGTCTTTGACCATAGCGATTGTTTGTGGTAATTACTTTAGAGTTTTCCCACGCACTGTCGTGTTTGGTGTAACATACATGTTCTGCTAAAGCTGATTTTCCCTTGTCTAAAGTTGAAACAGCCTTTTGATGTTCTTTTAGCCGTGTACCAAACTGGCGTTTAGACTGACCCAAATACTCTTTCTCGCAGTCACCGCATGGTATAGAATATTCAGCATGAGTTTTCAGATTTGTTTTAACAGGATCTTTTGGCTTTACGAAAATATGGTCTAAATGTATGGAACTATTGTTGTGACACCTTGAATGTATGGAAATATTGCATAATCCTTAACAGAGGTATCACCCTCGGAGTTGTTTTGGTTCCTATACAAACAGGTGATCTCAGGCAATCATTTAGAAAACGTTTTGGGTAATCGTTTTCCTCTAAAACATTTAGAACATACTCACGTTCATTAGCTTGAGAATCACTATTTTCCTATAGTTTTTCAATTAAAACGGTCGTAATGCGCATTAAAACCCATCATTCAAAAGGCTGAACTGTGCCTTTAAGTACAGTGGGGAAACAGGTGGGAAATTTGTCTGAGCATGCGCGAGTAAAATGAGTCACGCAATTGTGTGGAATACACGCAACGCGTGTTTACAAAAAAGCACAATCGTGTAAATATTGCAAAATGTTTGTACAAAATAAATGACTGTTTTATGTTGAAA